ATGATTCTACAACATGTACAAACAGAAAAAATGAGAAATTATATCCCATCTATGTATGATATATCAAAGTGCATAAATGCATTTCACTGTCATATATAAATAATTAAAACAAATACAAAATTTTTTAAAAAGCATATTAGAAAAAAAAAAAACAGATTAAGTGGAGACAATAAGACACAAGCCTTTCCAGATTTTTGGCACTCAGAGTTTTACAAAGAAACAAATGCAGAATTGAAAAAAAGATGGATCAGAACAAAAACTGTAGGAGCAGTTGGTGGAAAAACATGGAGCAGTGGGGAAAGAGTTTGCTCTTTGTTGGATGGCAGTCAATTTTTCACTATGGAGTGGAGTAAGTCTGCAATGGGCTCCTGGTTTACTAAGAAAGGCATGACTTCACATGTAGAAGTCAATTAAAATTGATGCTTCTGTTTGCAAGGAATGGGAAATAATTCTCATTGGATTGGTCTGAATCTGATGACAATTTATTGAACTGTAGCTAGGTGTCATTGATGATAGAATAGACAACCAGAGGCCCAAATGATAAGTCTGTCAGAAGGAGTAAATAAATGCCTTACCATATTACCTCTATAAGAAGCAAAACATTTTGAAATGGTGCAGTGAAATTTCAATTTATCTATTATTTTGCTTATGTTTATGTCCACCAGTGGGTATAATTTATGTAAATGCCTATTTATGTAAATGCCTATTTAATTACACTTCCTATTGTGGAATGATCCTCTTTTTATTGATATATTTATTTTACTGATACATTTATTTACTGATATATTTATTTTTATGGATAATATTTATTTCCACAGTTATTTTATTTCCTTTTTTATTTGGTAAAGAGATGATAGAATTGTGGCTTGATCTGCGTTTGCTAGAGTTTAAGGTTTGGTGTCCTTAAGTAACTTGGGCCTGAAAGCAGGGGTCCATGCACTAGGAATTAAAGTACTACTAAGGAAAATGTTTTCCTACCATCAGAGAGGAGGCATTTACTCTTGGACCTTGGAAGTTATTATCATTTAAGGTCATCAGGGGACACAGAGTTTTTCATACTTCAGGCACAAAATTGAGAGTGTCTTACTGTTTCATTTTCTTCTTACACACTGAGCTCTGTGTGATTTTCTTAAAGGGAGCATTAAACAACCTGTCAGTACATACACATTGGATCACAGACTCTTCTCATGTGGAGGGACTCTGGCCAGTACAGAAAGACATTATTGGAAACTTAGACATTAGAGGATAAGTGTAACTTAGTGTTTATTGGTTGGAGGAATCAACGATAGTTCCTTCCCTTAGTGTTTTATGCTGAAAACCTGTTGTTTTTAATTTTCTGAGCACTGACTACCCACTGTGCTTAAACAGCAGCTCTTAATCAGAACACAATAATTAGATAGTTAGAGCCTGCATGATATTTAGATATTCAGTGGAGTTGCATTGCATAGAGAAAGGTCTACAAAGTTGGTTTTTCTTTTTCTTTTTCTGATTCATCATATAATTTCTCTTTAAGGTTTATTGTCCAGATACATTTTATAGTATGTCTGTATTAATCATTTAGTATAATGCAAGTGTATGTCACACACACACACACACAAAACACACATTTATATGGTTACTGTGACACCACCACGGTGTATGAAAAGAATAAAAACTCATTAAGGATCTGACATAAAATCTTTCAAACACAGTAAATTTAACCAGAAGAGAAAACCTGCTTTGTTGGCTGTTTTTTTTTTTTCCCCTTTAATTTCAAGGTAATTTTAGTGGTCTGTTCACCAGTAAATATTTCTCCAAATTTGATTGCAATAAATGTACAGATACCTTATATCACAGGAAGAATATCAGATATTTAGTAAGATAATCCTTCAGTAAATTGTATTCCTTTCAGACAAGTCTTTGGAGAAAATGTTTAGAAATATAGTCAATCATTATCACATATCTGCGAAATTATTTACCCATTCTCTACATAACACCTTCCCTCTCTTATTATTAACAAGTTTTCAGAAAAAAATAACAAAAAAAATTCCCTTGCTTCTTCTGTTTCATTTACTGTCCCTTCTGATATTACAACTTGATTTCTGTTCTTATTCTTCTCCCTAAATTGGTGGTTATCCTTTCACATCATGCTTCTTTGGGAAACGTTTTTCATGTTTTTGTGGCATTCTTCTTGTCTGTTGCGAAGATCTCTATTCCTTAACTAGTTTAAAGTACATCTCTTCCAAGCCCACTCCTTGACTGCTGATCTCCAATTCTTTACCATATCTTCTCTTAAACTACAAAATCAATCTAATCAATGATTCTGACTTCTACCTTCTGCTGTACAGATACACATGGCAATAGCTTCTGGGTCTCTTGTGGAGTCAAGACCCATATTTTAAATTACTTTCTCTACAGCACACTGTCCCAGTGACAGGAATGATATTTAGCAGGAATATACTGATATAGTGGACAAATAGATTAGAGGTGTTGCCAAGCCAGTTAAGTATCTGGTTATACACAGTTCTACTGTTCCTGTCCAAAAGTAAATGCAAAACTAAACCTGCCATTTTTCCTATAAATAATCTTGTTTTCCCCCACTTAAAAAATGGCACCACAAATTATTTAGTTACAAAGCCAAAAGTGCTTGTTCAAATACTGCCAAGGTCTCGGCTTGGCACCAGAATCACGAGCCACCACACAGCTTTGTAGGTTCAAACAGCAATTCTTTATTCCCGCTCTCACACCGCCTCCACACAGGTCCAGGGGCAATCGCGTTCTGCCTTCTGCCCCCACAATTCACCTACTCCACGAGGCTATCTCCAAATCCCATTTTAATCTCACGAGAACTCAATGGGAACAAGCAGCAGGAACACCCTAATCCCAGCAATAATCTTCAACCTCCAACTTCCCTAAAACCCATTATCTTAAACTGGCAACGCCTTAAACTCAAGGAGCCTGTTACTTCCTCAAACCTGATCAGCTCTAAACCCTGATCCGCCTTGGTCCTTGAGCAAGGTCACCTTATTAAAGCATGCATGCAATGTCCCATCAAATGTCCTCTAAGCAGCATGGGGTATGCTTGGCAAGGAAATTTCGATGTGTCATTCCTACTTGGTAATGGCCCTCAGCAAAATACCAGCTTTTTTGATCACAGTTTCAGAGTTATTTTCTCACCTCTATTGCCATAATATCATTTCTTGTTTTATTATTGCTGTAACCCAAATTTACCAGTTCTAAACCGCTATAGTTCTACTCTTCTTATGTGAAAACAGCATGTCACTTCCAATTAAAACTTCTTAAATGGTTTCCTAGGTACTAGCATATAAATAAATCTATACTATTTTGCACTTTGTATAGAATTAATTGTGCTCTGACTCCTGCTCACCTTGTCTTTAAAAGTCCTTCTTCTGCTCAGTTCTTATTTCTTTTCTCCCTCTTCTCCCCACCTACCTTTCCACTAATTATGGCCCACTGTGTGATCTTGCCTCTATCCAGAATGACAAGCCTGCACATTATTTACTGGGAAGAATTGATCTTCTCTCAAATTTCTACCTAATTACAAACTTTCTGACTTCCCCAGGGAGGCTAGTAGACCTTCTTACATATTTTCCTATATTACTTTTTTATATTATTCATATTTATAAAAGACAAGATACTTAACTATATTAGTAATAGTTGTGTATCTTCCCAATAGAATATTAGCCCCCTTGAATCTTTAGTACTTGCATTTAATTACTGTATACTTATAATGATAAGAGTCTATATGAAAACCTATTTTTTTACTTGGGAAATATATACATAATATCAAGATAAGAAATCAATCCAAATTTAAATAGCTAAAGGTTAATTTATGTATATTTTAGAATCTCTTTACCATTCTTTAATGGATATTTCACTTAGAATATAAATGAAACTTTAACTATGTCACAGAAACTTTTCTTATCTTGGTATAAGCAAAACAGACATTTTCTACTCTTATGGGACTTATAGATTTGTTTATCCAGACAAAAATCAATAAAAGACATTAATATTATAGAAAAAGTCACAAAGTCTGTTTAATGATCAATAAATGCACTGCTAATGAAGTAAATCTAAATCTAAAATAGTCTCTTCATTCTTACTGATACAGAATGTCCTAATTTTATTAAATGCTTGTGGGTCAAATCAAATATACAAGAAAAATTTGTTTTTCATGTCTATTTGTTTTTAAAATGTTTACCTCATGTATACCAGAAATCATAATGATAGTTAAGTAGACATATCAATTTGTATTACTTGTGGTACTTTAAGAACATTTTAAATTTGTAACATAAAGATAGTATGTTCTAGTATGTAAAATGCAATGGTAAATATTAGTAAGAGAAAAGTTCATAATTGTAATAAGCTATTGGTACATTTAGCAATCTTAAATTTTTTAGGGAAATTCTCTGCAATAGCATAAAATGGAGCCACATAATCAATAGCATTTAAGTCAACATGCAGGCTTTTATCCTAGAATATAACTTAATAATAAAGAAAATAAGCTAATTATCCAAATGGAAATTTACAGAGTGGGCTGGCAGGGACACAAAGTACTGTAGAGAAAGTCCTTAAACATTACTAAGCCCATTTCTCAAGTCATATTTTTGGCTTATTTTTCAGCAAGCACATTAACATATCCAATGAAAATTATTGAGTTAGTAGTGCACAAAAACCCACACACTTGATATTACACATTGTACACAGACTACAGACATAAGATGGAAAAACAGTATGATACTGGAACAATTCTATTCATTAAGAGCATTAAGCTTTTAGTCTACTTGGAATGATAAGAAAAAAAGATATATATTTATTTTATGATAAGATATATTTATATATATTCCAAGTATATATAAAATATATATATAATTGCTCAAAATTTCTTTTTGAAAATTATATAGATGACTCCACTAATCATAAAACATTTTTAAAGTTTTCCTTTTTCTGTCTTCAAAACGATGACATAATTAATATTTTTATAACATCCATGTAACTACCTTTGTTTTTGCATGAAGATCTGGTAATCCACCAATAAAGATAGACCATGATTTTGACAGTGGTTTTCCAGGCATGTCATCAATAGATATGCTGCTTTCTATAATCCTTCCTAGAATAGTCATTTCAGCTCTACATGGGTCCAAATCTTGTCTGCAACGATTTAAGAAGGAAATTCATGGTTTTAGTATGTACTGTATAAACATTTGTCTGACCAATTAATTAAGCTGTTACCAGAAGAAGAAAGATTTAAGTAAATAGATTATCTCACCATAAAACTCAACAAAGCCAGAAGTAGATTAATCTGTTCTAAATTAGAAACCTTTAATGCTTAAAATACCTATATATAACATTAAATTTTAGCAAAACACAAATTGTAGCCATTACTTAATGAAATGAGTAACTCCTGATAATAAACATCCTTCTCAGGAGTAAGTAAAAGAATGTTATAGTATAATAGTCTTGTTGGTTACATATTACATTCCTGAATTGTCTGTATGAAGGAAAAAAACTTAAAACGAATCAGATTTAAATGCAGTTATACAGGGTACAATATACCTTTAAGCAAAAAAACAGAAATATTGCAGAGAGTAATTAGTTGTAAAAATATAATTTATAGCAAGAAGAAAAAATGTGAAAATTTTGAAAAGAATAAAATAAAAAATGATTTAACTAGGATTCTCAGAGTAATTAACTCCAATGCACCCATTTTTTTTAAAGGATGAGAAAAATACTACAATACTCTAACATATAGATATGAAGTATCATTTACTCTATTCATAGTTTAATTATTTAATGCAGAAATTAGAAAACAATGACCAGTGGGACAAATCTTCCCTTCCACTCTTAGTAAATAAAGTTTAATTGGAACACAGCCACATGTTTCTTCATCTACAATCTATGGGAGCTCTCATGTCAAGAGTTGAACAACTGCAGCAAAGATGCTAAGGCCCAAAGGACCAAAAGTGCATCCTACCTAAGTCTTACAGCAAACCTTGGTAGATCCATCATTTAATCAATGTACCTGTTTCCAAAGGAGGTACACTTATTATAATGCTTTCCACACATGTTCTATAAGACACAGCGTTCACTTACCAGTGTTATCCTATAACATGAGTATATGATGTTCTGTCTTTCATATATTTATGTGAACTTTTTATTGAATTATAATATAAATATTAAAGAGGTTAAATGGAAAAGCTTTATGAAATATTATATTATGAACATGTCCAAGTAACCATTATCTTGGTCAAAAGACAAAAAATTATTATTTATTCCAATTCAGAAACACAGACCTCCATTTTCATTCAACATTATATTTTTGATGCTCATTTTTGTTATTGAAGTCAACAAGAGTTTATTCATTTTCAAGGTACATCACTGGATACTTCATAAATTACTTATTGTAGTGTTGATATAGATTTGAATTGTTCCAATTTGGGGGTTATTATATAAATTTTGCTGCTATAAATATGCTTGAATATATTATTTAGTGTACATATATATGAATTTCTGTTGAAGTTTTAATAAAAAATATTGACTCTGCTCTATATTTGGGACATATTCTCTGTTGGTTAAAAAAAATTGCAAATGAGTTATTTTATTCATCTGGTATATTACATTTTTTCATAATGGTGTCCTTCACTGGTACCAATTTTAATTTATACCAACTCATCAATCATTTACTTAATTATTGTTCTTTTATTGTTGTTCTTGTTTCTGATCTACTCTATATTTAAAAGGTTATTTTGGTTTTGACACTTAAATTTACAACACATCTGAAATTGATTTTTATATAATCTGAGGTATATATTAAATTGTTTTTTATGGATCCAGTAATATGAGTGAAAAAAGAAAAATAAAATCCATTCTCCAGTATTCTGCCATCTGATTTCTATCATAAATCAAATCCATTTATATCTGCTCTGTTTTTAGGCTATTCTGTTCCATTGGTCAGTTTTTCTATCATGCACTAATATATCATTGTCTTGACACTTACTCTAAAATAAAGTATTTAATACTTGGTAGAATAAGTTCTTCTGCTTCATTTTTGCCCTCTCAACACTGTTTAGGCTGCAGAGATGTGTGTATGTGTATATATGTGTGTGTGTTCCTGGGCTTTCCTTCTCTTTTATATGTCTATATTTGTACTTAGTGCCAATATCACAGGACCAGAAATATTGATGTTATGTTGATGTTTTACATATTTTATACATTAAATCCTCTTATGTTGTTTAGCTTTTTGATTGAGATGATTGAACATCTTTTTCTCCTTTCTTCCTTCTTAATTGGTGTGAATTAAGTTGACTGGTGTTAGAATGTTTGGATGTATTCCTAGAACAGGTCTAACTTGCTTAAGATGTATGACATTTTCGTATAAGGCTGGATTGACTTTCTACATTTTCAGGAATGTTTTTGTATATGTTAAAAGATCTTGACTTTCAAATTTCTTCTACTGTTCTTATAACATTTTGGTATCAAGGTTATGCTGTCCTTATTTTCTTTAAGAAAGTCCTTTTACGTTGATGATATATTTATCCTTTGTGTATGGTAGTATTCAGTACACAGACAACTGGGCCTGAAATTCTTTGAGATTACTTTTGCTCTTTTTTCTTCATGATTTCCCTCTTTTGATTTGTTCTGAGCTTAATTTATTCTTCTCTTTCTAAATTTTAAAATCTAATATGCTCTCATGACTGAAAATTTCCTGTTAAGCATAAATTGAGATATATTCAACATATTCTATTTTTCATTGTCATCTGCTTAAAATATTTCAAATTTTCTTTTTGATTTTGTTTTGTTCATTCAAGAATCATTCAAAAGTGGTGTCACTAAACTTAAAAATACATATGAATTTCTGCTTTTAAAAAATATTCTAAGAATAGCTTAAATCAAGTTTGCTCAGAGAATATTTTCTGCTTACTTTTAATTCTTTGAAATGTATTGACTCAAGCTGCATAGGAGAGCATATAGTAAATTTTAGTAATATTTTCAGACCCTAGAATTTCTGTAGTTGATAGGAATGTTCATATATATGTAAATATGTCCCCCTCACATATACATACCCACTTTTATAGTAAGAACCAAGGGTACAATAAAGTAATTAAATCATGTGTATGATGCATGTAATTTCTTATAAACAATGTCTACAGAGATTCTCTGCATCCTTCTTCCATTTATATCACAATGTAAAGTTGAGAGCTAAAACCAAGTATGGCCACGTAACAAATATTGTGTTTTGATAAAGAAACTTTTTTAAAAATTCAAAAGTTTAGTGACATTTCCTATATTAAGAAATGGAACGAAAAATTTTTGAACATTTTTAGAACCTACTTGATGTTATTGAATCTGTATTTAGAAGCAAACTGCAAGATTTCTGGGTTAATTGCTTCTTACAATTAACTGTTAAAAATATCTTAGGGAGGAGATAGCTTCCAGGAAGCCATTCATTAAATGATAAAAATAAAGAAAGCACTGCTACTTCTGCTCCAATCATTCTCTGAATTTTAATGTTTGGAAAATAGTTTGTACTGTTTTGTGATATTAAAATAGCGATAATTATTCCCTAACACTTTGCTAATGAACTCATTTCTCCTATTTCATGAATCAAATAAAATGCATTAAGATATGAAACACATTTATTTGGTCTTTGGTTATAACAACTTCCAGAATAATTTAAAAATAATGTATATAGATTCTTACATTTTTTCTTGACCATAGAAGACATATAAATTATTTATGTTAAAATTAGAAAAAATAAATTTAACATCTGATCCATGCATGAATCAACTTGAATCTTTAGTAAATTGGTTTTTAAAATGGTATCAACAAATATAGGTCAAGATGTACATGCATTCACTTATATGTAAGTGTGTCACACATACATAATACATAAATACATCAACATTATTTGGTCTTTATCAATTTCTCTTACATGACTATTTTACAATTTTAGTGAGCACTGTATTGTATATTATGTTCCAAGCTCTTAAAATTATAAACAATTAAGAGATAATTACCCCCTAGAAAGTCACTTCACCCTTGTTTAATTATTTATTTATGAATAGTCTTGGATTTTTTAAATCAAATTTTAAGGGGTTTTAAGTGTGTATTATCAAATTGCTAAATTATATTTGGGAAACCTTGTTCTAATTGGCAGTGTTAGAAAAGTTCATGGTCTTTCTTTTTATATTTGTATTTGTATGATAAGTTCTATTAGTATTTTCAATATTTTCTATATTAAAAATCTTTCCCACCTAAGAAATAAGTACTTATATTTTATTTTTATAGATAGTTTTGAAGGTCCTTCATCACTTCATAATCAGACTTTGTGTATATATTAACAGTTTTTACTTGTATTTTATATTCTTTCAGTGTGATATTTGAGATTATACTGCTTTAATTATTGTAGTCGCACAATTTACTTTAATATTTAACATGCCGGTGTCCTTTCATATAAGACCAGTTCAAGTATTTCATTTGCCTTTTAATACATTTATAATTTAGAATCATTGTTTTCTATCTTTCAATGGCATTTTTATCAAGAATAAAATACATTATTAGAATTAAAGTTGTTTTATGTTCTGACATATGTATGTATATATATATATATATGTGTATACATACACACATATACATATATGTGTACATAAACATGCCTGCTCATATTTTTCAAATATACATGTAAATATGTTTTCATACTCCTTAAGTTCAAATTAAAATATTTCATTTCAGCATAAATAAAAATATTTGCATTTTTGTGTGTTCCATACTTAACTATGGTGTTTAACCTTATGGAAATCTTAGAGAATAACAATGAGAAAATGCTATGTATTAATTTAACATGCAATTGTACTAAGTTGTGTAGTAAACTCTGCAGTAAGAACATAAATTACATAAAGTTGGAAATAATCCAGACTTCACTAAGAACTATTCAATTGGTCCTTGCATCATGAAGATGATTATAGTAGAAAGACAGAAGATAAATGGGTAATACAGATTTGGGGTTGTGATTGAGGGTTAAAACTACAAGACACATGAATGAGGTAATATTTTAAAGTCTTGGTCTAAAATTGAGAATGAGAATTGGGTTCAATTACAATTTACTGAGTTTTTTGACCAAGTTGTACTCTTTTATGAGATTACTAGGTCAT